CGCTCTTCCGATCTATATATATATTGACTTTATTCAGCCCGCTGGAAGTATGGGTTTTTGTTCAGGTGCGTTTGGCGCGGCTTGAGGATGTGGCAGTAAATGTTTCAGTTCACTTTTCTCTTTCATTTTAGACATTGACGGATTTGTCCCTTTGTACAATTCAAGGGTTGGAACACATTTTGGTCTGGACAACCAGATAACAAACAAACTTCGGTTTGATTGACATGCTGAACGGTGACTTGCCTATCCTTGCCTAGAAGAAATCGATTAGATGCGCAATTCATGGAGATTTTGGATGATTCGTTTCTGCCCATTGGATAGTTCGATAATTAGTGACTATCACGTGATCTTTTTTGAAATACGATCTATGTGTGATCAATAGTGTGCGGATTTTTAGAAGCACTTGAAAGACAACGCCAATATACACATACGATTTATGGCACAGTTGTTGGCTGGCTGCGTAAGTTAAATACGTAAGTAAAATACACGGTACAAACCTTCGAGGAATTCAGGGGCTCGGATTAACAGTTTCCGAAACGAAGCTCGTGAAAAATTCGCTGTCGTTGGGCCACACCAGAGTTAGCAACTCTAGAGCTGTCGATTCCTCGAGCCTAATTCCATGTGTGGCAGGTGGTTCTCAATACATCCGAAATTCTTGTGTTGACCAACGTCATTATCAAGTCGGGAGCCAATAAACACTGCTAAGAGTTGTGCTCCCTTCACACAGTTTAGGCGTAAAGTAAATGTGTTATTGCAAATCATCAATTACCTGTAGATTGAGTGTGTACAAAAAACTCAAAAGTCAGCACACGATTTCATGCAGGTAATACAAGTCCGTCTATCAAATATTAGCGCTCAGTTTGGACCTACAAGCGCATGGCCCGGAAAGTGTTTAGAACTTATCTTATTCTATGTAATTAGTGAAAAATATACAAATATACAAAATATACAAAAACTAGGACTCTTGCAACGCATTCTCTGAGGACTCATAAATGAACTAGTCTTCTCCCATACTCCCCGTTGATCATCTGGCTTACAAATAAAGGTGTTACCAGAATGGAACTGTTAATTGTCTAAAAATTTCGTCTTAACTACGGACTAATCGTTTCTGGTCAATTCTCACATTCTGCTTATATTTGTCGTCACCACACGTTCAGCCACCAGATTGCATGGTGCTGAGTCCCTATTGATTTATCCTCGTTCCGCTCTCACGTGTGACTCCTATTGGTCGTTGCATTTCGTTATTTTTCTGCTCGATCGTGCACAACTGTTGGTTCCTATTGGTTATTCGGTTGAATAGAAAGTCTCAGCCAATTCATGCCATTTTTTCCGATGTATATAAACCGCCTTACTTCGCGGCGAAAAAGACCTGTTCCTGTGCTCGACTTTGGCTTCTTCCTTACGCGAGTTGACGGGTTACCTCCGGACAACACAACAAAAGGTCATTTCTTATTTCATCCAAAGTTATGTGGCTGTACGCCTCCTTGTGTGAGGACTCACTTGTCCAATCCTTCCAGTCATTATTCCTGAAGTTAGTGGTACAGCAGCTACTCTGGTGAGAATTGCAAGGAGTACATTATCGGCATCGAAGCAACATACACATTCAAACCACAATGCCGTTTCTAATCGGAATGCGCTCATTAGACACGTTCGCATTCTTGCTACTCGGACAAACCATGAATACTTTTTATCTCGGCTTTGCCTATCACAGTTAGTTGCTCTCCACTGATAAGAACTGCTGTTTTGAGCACAGCTCAGCATGCTACTGATCTGATGGCTGGATGGCATATTTGTCTATTTTACAGTCTGCACTTCTCTTGACCTGAGAAGCATGTTTTCTTCTTTTGATCTGCCCGCAATGACTGCCGAAGTAAAATTAGCAGTTCACTACCGTTGGTGGTGTGATTGTGTACAGCTGTCTTTGTTTTTGGTCCCATCGTCTTCCCATTTTCACACAATTCTGGTGTACGTACCGAACTCGGATGGGAAAGGCTTGCAACTAACCATAGTGGTTTTTTCTTCAATAGGTGAACTGGCCAGTGAACCGTACTTAAAAGCAAAGCGAATGGCTTTCATGCGTTTTGCGTTATCACTCCTGAATCTGAGTTAATCTTCGCAGCCAGTAAATTCGGTAATCTTCTTCCTTCAGTAGGAAGTGGAGTTTTACCGATTTAAATCATATACAGGATTACTTACAACCGCCGCGAGAAATAGTAGGTTGGGGATGCATCCGCTGGTCAATAAATAAAAGGAACTACGTCAAGGTCAAACTGAATCGTGAAAATACGACTGTTATTGATCCAGTAGACTTCAAAATTGCGCATAGTTCCTACATAGACTCCGGTAGCCTTTGAGAAGATATAAGCCTGACTGGAACTTCTCGTGACAAGTTAAGAGGTACCTAGTATGGGATTTGGAAAATAGATTCCTTGTCTGTGACGAGCGGCTTTGGTCAAATCTGAGGCACGAGTCACTCATGTAAAGCAGATGCGCTCAACCCTTATAGTACGTTTACGGAGGTACATCTTTTTCAGTCATATGCTGTTGAGCAGTTGAGTTTGAGTACGAATATCTCAGGAAATATGTCTTACAAAACTATGCGGTCTACGTATTTTAGCATTTTTGATATAAACGGGAGAATAAATTTTTATTAGTCCTGCATCTGACTAAATCGTACCTCAATTATGGAAGGACAAATCTATCAGGGTAAGCACACTGACCAGTCCGCCTGTGTTTTCTACGAAATTAATGATTTATTGATCTACTGGCGTTCTCTATTATCGCATTATCGACAGAATTCTTCTGCGTTTTATGCTGAGGCCTATAAACGCGAACATTTCTTTGTGTGTCATGCAAAGTAATGTTCATTATCTAAGGTGAGAAAAGAGGAGAACAGAACTTGTCTGCAAACTCCCCGCCTATCAAGATATTCACAAGCAGTCGAAATATGAACAATTACATGAATGCATGCATCCAAAAACCCAAGTAAAAGTTCTATATTGTCACGCTCGTCTGATTAGCTCTAGTCGAGGTGGAATGAGCCAATGAGTTTATTTTCATCAGCCAACTAGTTTTGTTTTAACGTAAACACAAAAGCATACTTTCTAGAGATTGGGAACCATCACATCTTTAAAAAGCGCGAAATGATAGGAATTATCATCTGAGCGAGATAATTTGGGATTGATAGAAGAGGATCTAAAGCCTCCAACATTGTAACAATATTCCCGACGGCGTGGCTTCACGCTCATTATTCCAGCGAGCGAAAATTATTCCCTGGCTAGGAGGCCAAAGGAGCGTGTAGGACAGACATCCAGAGAACGCAAATTGAAGGTGAAGATAGCAGTCAAAGCATAAGCGAATGACCTGTGAAGGACATTGGCCAAATGCTCAACAATGGCGGATGACGCATTAGGTAGCGACACAGAACACAACGCAACGCTTTGGAGAACATATGGGGTAGTAATAAAGCTGCACGCCATAGCGTCTGCCGAACGAGTCAGTATATATCGCAAAACATCCCACGTGGCTAGAATTGACGACATGCAAGATGCATCTGGGTGAAGAGCGGATTCAGGTTAGCCGAACAGTGGGGTGCAGTAATCAATGGCACCCCAAATAAAAAGGAATTTCGGCTTAAACAAGAAATCCCAACCCACACAAATGTACTTGTTACCTGCACTATCCAACATATTTATTCGAAACAGATATAAAAAATGAGAATTGCAAACGTTATTCATCTACAGGACTAAAACCAGAAGCAAGCATTCCCAAATCTAAGTTGTTAGATTTCTTCCCTAATTAATCGGTCATAAGATTTAGCTACCCACACTACCGAGCATGAAGCTGACTGGTATTCCAAACTAGTTTTATCCGCTGGTTAAAAATGGTCTCATTGCTTTAATCCCCCGTTTGTCTTGAAGCCCGACTAACATGGTAACCCGTGCTTGTGCACTGTGCATTTCTCAAGAGCCAATATTATTAGGAAGGAGGGCTGGGTTTGGTCGATTTGGGAACCGGAAATCCGGGTACACATGCCGTGGATAAGTCCTCAGTCGGACTCGACCCATCGACACCCGCTTGCCGGGCGGATTTTATACCGACTGAGCTACCGAAGGCACTCATTTCAACCACGCTTGTCCACATGAAGTTCACGGCTGATTCCCCGCACATCTCCCAGCGGATTGGCATTTGATTACTGTCCACGTTATTAGTGAAATGTTTGTGTGGCTTCGATAATAAGGCAGAAGTGGATATTGTTTGCGTGAGCAAGCGATATTGGAGTAAACGCCAACAACAACTATGAATCCACCAGCCATGGCGAATCGCCCTTGAAGTTTTGGTACAAACGACCCTGGCAACTAAGTTGTGGGTGCACTTGTTTGGTTAGTGTGATTTCGGCGGTTATAGACCGTATTCGGACAGGCCTTCTGGTGCGATTCAGGCAACTAGTCTCAAACTTTTGCTCAGAATTATTCACGATGTCTCTGGTTGGTAGTGAAATAATTAGTTCATGGATTTTATGCAACCCTGAATGGAGGTTCATGAAATGCATTATTTGCAACTTGTGGCAAGTTGACCAGAAACCCCAAAACATTGCTCCCTCTATGTGACCAGGTTTGTCTCAACACACACTGTAGCATATGGATCACTGTCACGTGACTCAAGAAAAACGCTTTCTTTTCAAATTACTACAGTCTGCGTTCAGAAAGCGTGAAACATTTGACAGGAAACGAAGTCGAAGTGAGAGGTTCTCACCTATGGAGATACAACTTCCTCAAAATATAAAGGTGCTTCCTGTAGCACACTCTTAATCTCATCCCAATACAATACAATACCTCCACTATCTGTCAAGTAGTGAGTGATTGCACCTGAAAAGGACAGCTGTACTTGAAAAAAGTGTTTGGGGCTTTGGATCCGCGTGATATCGCTTTTGAACCAAGTGTCCAGTTCGAACCACAATATAGCTTTCAAGCTTGGGCCTTGGGAGAGAATATTGAGTATCTGCGAAGAAAACATGTGAACAGCACAATATGTGGAATTAATCAAACTATGTCGACATGCCATCGTTTGATCACTGGTCGCAGTCAAACGTCACGTGTCACCTTCGTGCTTTCCAGGCTTTTAATAGGTTACACAATGAAACGATCGCGGTTGTTCTGGTAACATAAGGAGTGAAAATGTCTGGGTTTTATTCCAAAACTTAATCATACAGCAAAGAAAAATAGATAGGCTACTGTTAGCAATGTTGTGGAATGTAAGTAGCTCTGGTACGCTGCTTCGTTGTAGGTCTGTTCACCGAGCTTGGCAGTTCGATTGCAATCGTTTCATCACCAATCGAGGTGACATCGTCATTGCAGGGTTGAGTGGGTGAATTCCTCATATTCTGCCTGTGATTATGTAGCTTCTAAACAGTACCTGGTAGTCTAGAAAACGCTCTTCGCGTAGTCTGATTGACCGTTTCCCGGAACTACCAGATGCCGTTTGGAAGCCATATAATCGCAGGCAGAAGCGGAGGAATTCACCCACTCAACCCTGCAATGGCGATGCTACCTCGATTGGTGATGAAACGTTTGTAATCGAACTGCCAAGCTCGGTGAACAGATTAACAACCGTAGGCTACCGTATCGAACCGTCCAGCTTTGTCCCCCGGATGAGCAATTCCATCACAGCTATCATAAGAAATTCGGTTTACGTGATTAGTGAGTAATCACATTGTCCATAAATGTGTCCAAGTGCCCACAGCATCGAACAAATAATGTTGACTGGGGCAACTGACAAAGTAAGCAACTGAACCGAAATATCCATTTTATCTCGAGCAGAATTCCCCAGTGAACTATCGTTTTGAACGATAAGATGAACAGATTTCGAAACCAACCACCCCAAACAGTCAGCGGAACAGGTTAACATGGAAAGGAGAATAAAGAGCCTGACCAGTTGAACTGCGCAAGTTATAACTCAGTGTCCTGAACGCTGGCTGCTAGAATGTTAGGACGAGAGGAATGTGTCAGAAGAGCTGCAGAAAAGGCTGCAGAATAAAGGTTGACTTATGACGAAAATTACATGTCTGGAAGCCTACTAGCAACTAACTGTCTACAACAAGACCCGAGGTTTTTAATGACGTAAAGTGAGCAAAGCAACAGGTCGTGGCGTCAGTTTAGCAGACCATTGGGTTATACAATCTACTGAACTATGCCAGTGAAAGTGAGATATCGGAACTACACCAAGAACAAACGAATCATTTTAAAACAACGTTATTATATGACGGTATGGGAGTGAAAGGAGTAGATACTTTCCTGAAAGTATCCTTGAAACGAAATGTTTCCTAACCAACGTGTTGGAAAATTTCTCTCTAGTGGATGACATCATCATTATGAAAGCCGTGGGAGATGTTACCGACGGTGAGACTAGTGGAATTCCTACCCCATGATTTGTGATAGGCTGCTTTTGAAGGGTAGAGGAACTTCCCAGTGAAGTCTAGTCTCAAGTTAGATTAGCACTCGCTTGTGTTTTTGACAGACTTGTGAACTAGTTAAGGTAAACAAACAAGCATGGGCTGCGTTTTCTGTTTGCATTTACGTGAGAATCAATTAATTTGTCGAACAAAATCCGTTCACATGCATCTCCCTTGTATGCAAGCCCCAGGCGAAAGAACTCTGAAACGACCGTCATGTTCTTTGATGTTTCACGTGGGTTGACGATCCTCTGGTATGTGGTACGAAATATGGGTAACGGGATGTGCTGGCATCATAGATATAACGCTCGAATGGTGGGGACAGAATATTCTGATGGACGGCAAGAAGTTCCTGCTTGATGAAAGATTTGCTCTCCTCACATCAAGCGCAAAGGCATATTCCAATTAAATGCATGAGGAAGCTCGTCGGATGTGGATTTGTTCTGCTGAAAGAACGAGAAAATTGCAGACTGAGATGAACTGAGGTGAAATTAATATACTTTCGTTTTGATTCATCGTCTGTGGTAGTATTTCATGCATATATTCATCACGTGCTTCTGACGTAGTAAAGCTTAAAAACAAAGAATACGAAATGCATAAGCTTGACGTTAACCGAATGCACTAGTGAAAAGCTCGTTGGAAACTCTTCAACAGCTCACCATCAATAGAGGAAAATGTTGGTAGCTCAGGTATCGTAGATGGTGGTCGTTGGCTTGTTCGCTGAGCTGGGCAATTTGATTGCAAACGTTTCATCACCAATCGAGTGATGAAACGTTTGCAGCTCACCATCAAATTAGTCCTTCTTAGGGTCCATCAGGAAGCATTAGTCCTCGAGTTTTCGTTAACTTTACCAGAACAACAAAAATGTCTTTTCTGTTGCAGAGTCATACGGATTAAAAATTAGTGAAAATTTTTCACCAATGCAGAGCTTTTCCACTGCGATACAGAACGAATCAGTTGTCAAGTATAACATTTCAAAACAGATAGTAACACAAGAGAGCAGATTGTGTAATGGGAAGGCCGTGTTAGTATCAGTGCGGTTTAGATTCATGCTTTCAGTGTTTTCTGTTCGAAAGCTAACAAACCAACGGCTTGGCTTGTGGGATAAGCAGATGGGGGCGGTGAGGAGATGCAGAAAGAGCACCAACAACAGCCGAACGGTTTCGCATGTGACACGCAAATCCAAAACTCAACACGAATAACCCATTCTCAGAGATGGAAATCCACTCCTTCAACGAGAATGCCCAACTCGTCGGTGAGAGGGAACTTGGCGAATTCACTGGAAACTCGTCCGCTAAATTAGATAATCACCAATAAGTCAGTCACTCCAGGATTCATCAGTGTTTTGGAAGCTTCCAGGCTACTCTCATATTGTTCTTGAAATAGGTTGTTCTGGAAGATCTGTAGGTATCAAGTTATATGGTCGCTGGTGTGTTCGCCGAGCTGAACAATTCGATTGCAAACGTTGCATCACTAATCGAGCTGACATCATCTCTGCGTCGTTGGGGAGCGTAGTGGAGCGTAGCTAAGGATCGGTGGTTGCGGTTGAGTTATATCTTGCCAATTCAGCTAGCCATACCCCTTATTGTCATAAGTTTCTGCTTTTTATGGTAACCGGAGCCTTTGGTGTTGATTTCTGTTCACTGTGCAGTACCAACGATTGTTTTGCGGAGAATGCGGTGCGAGCATTCTGTTCAAAATGACAGGGGCGTTCGAGTTTTGTGACCTAATGCGTCAGATACCACAATCGACGTGTGAACTTAATAATGTGAATACCTGGATAATGTGACGTTTGAAAGCCTAAAAGTGTTTCTCCTCACTCATCAAGGGATAATAAGTAGTTTTCATTCAGGAGATTTTGCTCGGTAATCGGCTGATGAATTGATTTTAGCAATATACTGGATGGGGTTTGGCTACAAAGCATTCCATCGGAAGTCCCGTTGTCAACTCCACTTGTCTCCAAGCTAAGCTTGATCTTCAAGTCAACAGACGTCTGATAAACCATGTTACCCAATACGAATCTCTAACCTATTTTTTCTCTCCTCGACCGATCAGTCTTAGTCTGCAAATTTTGCACTGCAATCGATCGGTTGATCGATTGACTAGTTGTCTGTCACTGAATC